CGAAGGAATTTAAATTCTCGCGCGAATGCGGACACTTGACGAGACGCGCGACGCCACGAGGAGGCCAATCGATAATCGCCGCGAAATCGACGCCTCTCTCTCACTGCCTTACCGGTCGCGCGGGCGACAGGTGTGACGTCACACGTTGGCCGTCCCGCGATGCGTATCGGGAAACACGGGAGACCTGCCATCTTGAATGGCATGGCTCGGCTATACAGTGCGTGATGAAGGAGACATGCGAGCTTTAACGCGGACGTTACGCTGGTATTACGCTGCGTCGGCACCCGCGTGAGATTCAACGACGTTCGTGACGCGAGAAGGCACTTCCCCAGCCCCACGCGATGGAGGCGGTGAAGGCGTTCAACGCGGAGGTAAGCAACCACCCCGGGGGTCCCTCCGCTCGTGTACGCGCACCGTCTTAGAGGTCACCGTCGTAGGGGCAGCTCTCCCTTCTCTTTGGCGCTTCGCCCTCGCGATCAGCTTGGCTTGTCCTACCTCGCCTCGAATCTGAATCTCGCGCGAAAATCGCGGCTGCGCTTGCGACCAGAGAAAAAATTAACTCCGATGCGTCGTCCCCCCCTGAATATGCTCCCTAATTGTAGCTCCGTTCGATCTCGACGAAAAGGGTTTCCTCGCCGGAGGGATATACAGTTCGCCGAGATTGTCCGAGAGAAATTGCCATCGCGACAAAAGCTCCAAGGTCTCCCTTGTGGCCTGGCGCGGGGGGCTCGTTTTCGAGGAGCACTTTTGCACAATTTCGATCGAATGAGTAACCGTGATTTTGTCGAGCGAATCTAGCTGTATTTCTGAATCGCGAGACGATAAAACACAAATGTGCACACGCGCGATGTTTTGATTTATATGTTCAATACTGTGTTACGCTTACTACACTGTATACTTTAATCGAATGCATTAGTCGCAGCTTTAGGCGGCGCAAGCTCAGAGATACTTTGATATTTACTTTCTATCGGAGTACAGTTTTTGTATAGATATTTTTAAATTTAGGTATCACTTATTAGTTCTTGCTAAATGTATTGCTTCTTTAGAAAACTGGATTAATTAAGATTTGATGTTTTACAGCTCTCTGCTCTCTACGAGGTCAAACCCCCCATCTCAAAAGCCAAAATGAATTCGCTTACACGGGGAGCCATCAAAGCAATAAAATTCTACAAACATGTTGTACAAAGCGTGGAAAAATTCATTCAAAAAGTAAGTTTACCTATTCGAATGCTTTTTCTCAAGATATTACATACGTGGGTGTATCTAATTTGCTTCGTTCTGTTTTTAGTGCAAGCCCGAGTACAAAGTACCAGGGTTGTATGTAATAGATTCAATTGTTCGACAATCCCGACATCAGTTTGGGATGGAAAAGGATGTGTTCGCTCCGCGATTTGCGAAAAATATGCAGACGACGTTTCTCAATCTTTTGAAGTGTCCGCAGGAGGATAAAAGCAAAGTTATACGTGTATTAAATCTTTGGCAAAAGAACGCAGTTTTTCCACCAGAAGTTATTCAACCACTTTTTGATCTGGCAGACCCAAACCATCCAATACATAAGGAACAGACAGTAAATAGCAATGGTAAATATTACATAATACAGTTGAACAAAAATATTCCAAATTAATAAACGATATAAATGTGTAACTTGAAATATACACAGACACACACACACACACACACATATATACACATATACATACATATGGAAAATGTCTATATTTTAAAACGTTTCATTATTGTAGGTACATTAAATGCATCGTCTGGAAATAATCTAAGTAATGTAAGCGCGGTCACTAAGACTCCACCATCTGCAATTAAAAACGCTGTGAAGGATCCCAAACTATTTCCATCCGGAAAAACGATCGATCCGGTATGGTTAGCACAAACAAAAATGGAAGCAGCAGTCAATGCAAATAAACTTTTGGTAATATTATTACATATGTTTATATTATGCGCGTTTATATTATTATGTTTATATTTGCTTAAAACTTATTGAATTTTATTGTTTCCTACACAGAATCAATCCAATTCCGGTCAGATGGATTCCTCTCTTTTCGACCAGTTACAACATTTACAGCAACTACTTTTGAAAAAGGATGCTTCAAACGAACCAAAGAGTTCCGTCAAGTTTGATAAGAAATTGTTAGATTTTGATTACGGCGAAGAAGAAGATGACGATGTTGTTGTTACTAATTCTCCAAACACAGCTGCCTCAACCAATACCCAGCACAATGCAGTTTCAGCAAACAGCAGTTTAGAAAGCCTTGGACTGTTACTTGCAAATCCAGAGGTACTTGTCAAGTACCAAAAGTTAATAGCAATACTAAAGGGTAATATAATCATTCAATATATTGTGTCATTTAAAGGTTTTGAGACAATTACAAACTTTACAACAAACCATGCAAAGCAATGCATCCTCCTCACAACTTGAAATGGAAGAAAAGATGCGCAAGCTGCAACAAATGAAACAGCAGGAAGAAGAATTCGATAAGCATTTAGCACAAACTGTTTCTGTATGTTGCTCAGATAATTTTTATTAATTTTTTATATATCACGATTGTTTACATCAATTTTTTTTTCTTTTATTTCAGAACCTTCCATTTGCATCTGAATGCGAATTAAAACCTTCTGATATTTTAAAACCAAACACACAAAATTACGCATCAAATATGAACAGCAATGTAATGCAAGATATGAGCCAGCCACCACCTGGTTACCCGCCAGCTCTGTCATACGCTTCGCAGGCTTTATCAAGTATTCGACAAATGAATCAGTCCACACACCAAAATCAAAAGAGTCCATTACTTGATGAACGACAAGAAACACAAGATTATTCCGGGTAAATATATTATAATTCAACTAATCAAAATAATTCAAGCTTTATCTCTTCTGATGGTTATTTTTTTTTAAAGGAACAGTATCAGGCGTGATAGCAGCAGTGTAGAAATTGTAAACTGTGAAAACACGAGTTCCCAAAGTAGATCGCCAGAACGATATCGACATCACAGTCGATCTCGATCTCCACGGCACAGAGATAGAGATAGAGATCGAGATAGAGATAGGAAATCTCGATCTAGAAGCAGGTCAAGACGAAGAAGGTAATTAGGCTAAAATGAGCATTAAATTAAATTGATCGTCTTTAAAATTGAAGTTTTAGATATATTAAATATAGGAAAATATAAAGATTATTACAAATAATTGATCTGTATTTTTGTGCTATTAATTTTACTACATATAGATTTTATCTTTCTTAGATCTCGGTCAAGAGACAGGGGTCGTGATAGAAAACGTGATGATAGTCGAGAAAAGATGACGGAAGAAGAGCGGGAGAAGGATAGGGAGCGACGCAAACGCGGTTTGCCGCCGATAATTAGAGATAAATTAAGTGGTATGTATATTGTGAAAGTGAAGAGGATCTCCCTCGTTCTCTCATAGATCAGAAAAGTAGGAAAAAATTAAACCCACGTTTTTGCAGTTTGCAGTACAACACTTTGGGTAGGACATTTGTCAAAACTTGTACATCAAGAAGAATTGTCCGACACATTTGGAGAGCTTGGTGATATCGTTAGCATTGATTTGATCTCGCCAAGAGGTTGCGCTTTTATATGTATGAACAGAAGGCAGGATGCATATCGAGCACTAACGAAATTGAAAAATCAAAAAATGCAAGGCAAAGCTATTACGGTAATTAACAAATACTTATAATAAATCTCTTATGTAATAACTGAATAAAGTCGAGAATTCTTTGACATTTCTATTTTTACTTTAATTTTACAGCTAGCATGGGCACCTGGTAAAGGAGTGAAAGGCAAGGAATGGAAAGACTACTGGGAAGTAGAGCTAGGCGTCAGTTACATCCCTTGGAATAAATTAAACAACATTACCGATCAAGAATTGGAGTTACTGGAAGAAGGAGGAATGATAGACGAAGACACATTACCTCCTCATTTGAAAGGTACATTTTTTCAATGTGTACATACATATAGAGAGCGAATT